AGTCGTGGTTTCTTACGAAACATCTCAGCACGCTCCTTGGTTTGTTGCTTCAAGTCGTCGAGCTTCTGGAGTGGTGTATCTCAGGCAGGTATATGGCGAATGTGGTTGTCCACATGAACACAAGCGTCTTGGTTATGAAAGGTGTTCTTTTCCTTCGCATCTGCTAATCGTTCATTTTCTTGGCTCTTCGAGTGGTAGTCGGTTGGAAAGAGAGATTCCGTAGTTAGCAAGACTGTCTCTCGCAATGATATGATGTTGTCGATAGCGTTTAGGATTTCCCTAACGTCAAATGAATCATCTTGTATAGCTTCCTTTTGAACGACGGTAGCACATATGGATTTGGGAAACTTGGAGAAGATTATTCGGCTCCAAACTCTGTCTGCGTTCATCTTCGTTCTCGTTTGTTCCAGGTGAATGATCCTCGAGTAGATGGCTTCGAAGATGTCTCGGCAACTTTCCGGATCATCTGAAGCCCTGGGTAGTTTTTCGATCTCGTTTATGAGTATGTCCGCCAGCAAAGCGATCGAATTGTTTCTTCGAGATATCTATTGCTGTCTGATATCTTTTACCGACGCCGGGAATGCAGCTCAGGGTGTCTGCTGCTGCTTTTCCCTTCAAGGCTTCTTTCAGAAACAAGAATTTGTCCGTGTCGGATAACTCCTCGTCGGTGTGAATAAGCGATTCGAAGACTGTCCAGTAACTGTTGAACTCCCGGAAGTTGCCTGAGAACGTAGGAATTTCAAGCATGGGCTTCAGAATCTTGATTTGTCTTTCGTTGCGTTCCGGAGTTCCAGCTTGCCTAACTTCACTACTTGACTGATTCGATGTCCTCGGAGTACTGCACTGCACAAGCGTACCTTGTTCCTTGAGTTCATGTTGTCGGAGCTGGATTCTGTTCTGCCACTGTACGGCCATGACCTCCAAATGAAGAGACTCCAACTCAGGTGTTTGCTGAGTTCAGTCATCAGCTTTTCTCTCTCTTTTTCCTCGTTTCTTGAGCCGATATATTCAATTGCGGCATTCACTTGAGTGTCTTGAAGTTTGACAGCATTTTGCAGAGAATTGAGCAGGTGCGTGAATTTCTCATTTTCCTTTTGATATATGTCTCGCACTCAGTCTTGTCCACAAAAAAAGTGAATGGCGTGTCGATTTTATTCACTTCCGACTCGTATGAATTCACGAGTGCGCAGGTGTTGTTGATTTTCGATTTGAAGATCTGGGGCGCTGCCATTTTTGTATTGCACAAAGTTTTGTTCGGTGCGTCCGTTGAGTGCTGATGGCGAGCGTCGCAACGTGAGATGCGTATCCTCGTTGTAGAGTTTGGAATGAGGACGACAGCAAGGCTGGCCTCTTGTAATAGCTGTCCTTACTGGGTGCAAGGAAACCTTCTAGTGAGCTGGCAATTGAGTGCCGAGTTTCTACTAGCTGTCAGCAAGCGTGCCTAGTTGGCTTGAACGCTGTGCTAGGTAAGGTGTGTTGAACCTGTACCGTGAGGATTGAGAGCTTGAGTTCTTGGTAGAACTTCGAAGCTTAACAAGTAAGATTTTTGGTTCTTGACTTGTTCTTTCTTCCGTCGAAATCTCTTTCTTCTAACTCTGGTTCCTTTGCAGGACTCGCGAAGAGACTAGTGAGATTGGAAGTGCACAAACAAACTGATTCACTCTCTGGTTCCTTGCGAAAAGGACGCGCGAAAAGAGTTTCACAAGTTGTGGTGGTGTTTGCTGCACAAGATTCTTTCCACTCCCTGGTCTCTTACGAAAAGAGCGCGCAAGGGAAGTTTTCAGAAATTAAGTGTTTAGCTACTACCAGCTGGTCCTTTACTACCCTTTGGTCTCTTACGAAAAGAGCTCGCAAAAGGAGTTCAATTTGCAGTGGAGTTTTGCACCGACTGTTTTCTTTACTACTCTCGGGTCTCTTACGAAAAGAGCGCACAACGAGAGGTTCAATATTCAGTAGTGTTACCTGCCAGCTGGTCTTTTACTACCCTCTGGTCTCTTACGAAAAGAGCTCGCGAAAGGGGTTCAACTTGCAGTGGAGTTGCGGAACCAACTGTTTTCTTTAGTCCTCGGGTCTCTTAAGAAAAGAGCGCGCAACGAGGGTGTCAATATTCAGTGGTGTTACTCAACAACTGTTTTCTCTACTACTCTCGGGTCTCTTACGAAAAGAGCGCGCGACGAGAGGTTCAATATTCAGTGTCCTGCCACGCGGGTCTTTAGGCCTTGATTTCCGCGAAGAAATGCAAGGATGTTCCCTGGACGATGCACCAATTTGGTGTGTACCAAGTGAATGGGGTAAACGAAGTGGAATATAGATTTATTCGCACGGGTGACATAGATTCCAACAGAGAGAGCGATCTGTCGAGGTGTCCCGGTGCTAATCGGGGAGGAACCTCTTATACATTCGGAGGCGCCTTATATACGAAGGAAGGCGGAGGTGAACCGAATACAGGGTACAATGTACACGAGTTGGTGCTTGAAAGGAGATGCCGCCGATTGGCGACACTCCTGGCGCACGGGTACCACTCACTCTTGAGTGATTAGACTCAAGAGTGAGTAGCTCACCATTTAGCCTACGGGGACTCCGTAGGCTATGCAGAATATAGAGCTCAGCAATGGCTGATGATACAGAAATCATCAACACTGTATATAGGGTGACCCAAAATAATATATCAAATAGTACATAATAACTCCGTTGCATAAAAAGCTTTCGCCTTTCGAACATTTCATTTTAGAGCTGGCTTCACTCAAATATATTGAAAAATCACCAACCGCTTCACTGTAAGATCACGCTTGAAAGGTTCAGCTAGTGTGATTGTGGATTAATAATGCTTTAACAAAAAATTAAATCTTCAAGATTTGCAGCAGGGTTTCGCGCGCCGCAATTTCACTGATGGACTCTTAGCAAATTTTTGAAACTTTCAAAATGGTACAATCACAACTTTAGCGAGCATTGTAAAAACAGCTATTGTGGTCATGAAACGAAGAATTGCGGTAAAGTGCAAGTCAAAGTTTTCAGGTTGTTCGCTCGCTTTCTGAAGCGGAGTACGGCATTAATGGCCCAACGCTCTCGTCAAAACCTCTAACTCAATCTTAGACGAAGATCTGTCGGCTCTATAGGTCAGCATGTAATGAAACCATTCGCAATTGGCGTTCAAAAACACGCAAAAGCTTTTCATATAAGGGAGTCGTAACAGATCAAATATTCGATACATTATTTTGGGGCACCTTATATAATCACTTCCAATCAATAAATTCGATGGAAGCAATAGGTTTTTTTGAAAAGAATTATTAAATTTGCAATAAACATGTTCATGTTCCTCCCGTTCTGTGAGGACTCCCAGATTCGCAGTTCAAATTTTAAGAGAAAAACTTGATAAGCTCTATAGAATTGTACTGGAAACGATATTATATTCGCGGCAAGCATGCTCACTTACCCCCTTCTGTGCCAACTCACTTAGCTAAGAACTTTGCAAAAATCATAAAATCGATATCGATCGTAATAAAAAGTAGCCTACAATTCCCGCCCCGAATATGCGTGCACAGTGTTCCCTGACCGGTGAAATGAAATTTTCTGTTTGGAACATCCGCACCCACCCACGATCGCAGGATTTTCTTCCGGCGGAGAGGGGGGAGGCAAATTACTCGAGCATGCTTAGTCACGCACTCCGAAATGTTTTGGGATGCTTCCCAGAATTTCTGAGGGCCCATAAAGGGCAAGCAAATCTCATGGCCCCCCTACCCCCTCTGTCAGCCACTGGTACTCACACAGACAGACGGAGAGCCAGACAAAACAAACATTTAGCTTTACTTATGCAAATTTTTCCGTCCTCCGACCCTTCTCTTGCAAAAATTTTGAGCTTCATTACGCTCTCTTTATGAACGCGGAAATTCAGAATTATATTCGTAGATAAACAAATGACTGGTTCACAACGAACATGAATACATGAAACCAAGAATTTATTTGCGTGATGGGACATCTAAACAATACATAAAAGATTATGAAAAGTTAAGTGAATTAAAAAAGGGAAAACTTTTTTTAATTTAGATGACTTCGAGCCACCTAAATTAGCTTAATCGCTCCCTATTTCTTCGCGTGACTTACTACTCTTTCTGGAAGTTTTGACAAAATTCCAACTCTTACATCATCTAAACCTCCTCAAGCCCCTTCTCCTCCCCTTGAAGAGTCCCCGGAAATGTTGAATGGTGGCGTTTGGCCCTTGCGGTGGTGCGCTCCTGACACCACTGCCATGATTTAGAAAACACGAATATCTTCTGCTTCTTGGTGCTTTGTTCCGGTTCATTCTTCTTTGTCACTTTTTACGAGCACCTCACAGAAGACGCTTTTTTTTCACTCGCAAACTCAACAGCGAATTCGTTTCCAAGATTTCTTGAAGCTATCTCGTGCCGAGCCTTGCTCAGAGTGTTAATCTAGAATGATAAAGTCTAGCCAATCTCATCAAAAACCTTGTACTTTTCGACTCAAAACTATTTTCATAAAAGCAGAGGTATTAATGCTTACTGTGTATCGGTCAGAACATCATAAGTTTTTCACATGCTTTCGGCCCTTGATAATGCAAAACGAGATTAAAAGAAACTACAAAATTAGTTCTACAATATTCAGGGCGTTTTTGAGCTTCTTATGATCGCACCTATCACCTTTCCAAAGGCCAAATTCCGCTGTACGATTTTTTTTAAATTGTAATGCTCTCCACAACATTTTCTATAGTAGAAATCCACTTTTCCACCGATGCAGAGCTGATATGCTTCACGCATAAACTACATAAATTTGAAGTTGCATCCAAAATTTCAGGGATCATTCACAAAGAGATAGGATAAGCGGTGGATGAGGAGAGAGAGAGGGTTAGCAGTAGCACAGTAGCATGAGTACAATTTAGTATAGAAAGTAGCACGAGTACATATAGACTACAAGCTTCGCTCGAAATTCTCATAAGAAAGTGGAGTGAAATGAGCAACATAATAAAACAGAAGAATAGGAATGGTCATACATATACAAATATTAGGTTGACTGGTAAATAATTTCGGTCGCTTCTGCGGCTCCTACGAATGTTGCTGACAAATTTTTGTCCTTTTTTGTTACCTGTGGAAAGAGCACTTTCACTGAGAGTTAGAATATAGAGTCTGTTTGAAGGGAGCAATGAAGTGAGATACCGTAATTTTCTGAACGTGGTCAAATGTGAGAGAATTTCGTTCTCTTTGATAAAAATTTAAAATCGAAATTCACCATTCTTGTTGTTGATCGCTGATTGGAGAAAACTTGGATGTATAATATCTAGATACCAAATTACTCAGATCCACAGCATTATAGCATGAATGAAGCTTGCAAAGTATGGGCTGAGCTCCTGAAATGTGACTATATTGGGCCATAACTGTCCTTTTGTTGGTAGAAAACTGGATTGTTGATGTGTGATAGTGGAAGCTTTGAACTACTTCCCTCAAAAGATAGTTGTCGTACAGCAATAAGAAGTCATTATGGAGATGGTAAAAACGAAATAATTTTTTAGCCACCATAATAAGTGAATTGTTATAAGGCACAATCGATCATTGTCGGTATCTGTGAAAGATAGCAGCAAAAGTTTTTTAATATGTTGTATAGCGTATACGTTGTCAGTGTTATTAGGCTGTATTTTCAGTCATCATTCGACGGATGTCTTCACATTCTCCTTTCGCGTTATCGGCGTAGTTGCGTAGTAGTTCAGAGATTTCCGGTAAATTCTGGAATGACGCTGCTGTGAAGAAACTAATGCAAGCGATTAAGCGCTTAGAGCACACAGAAGGCTCTTGGGATGGGAACACTCTATTTTTGGATTTGATTCTTTCGGAAGAAATTCAAAGAACTGTTGATACTACTTTGTCAATCTCAAAAGCGTTTTGGCGCCGAATGCGAATTTTCAACAGCTCATAATTATACGAACACTTCATAACAAAAACTCCATTTTTCACTCGAAACTGCAAACTTTCAGGTCAAAATTGTTTGTAAAGTTACAGCATCAGGGTCTGAGATGCTATACACTCCAGCGCAGCTTGATAATAGGAGCATTACTCTTCTCCAAAGGGATGTCAGGTAAGTTATTGTTAGAATCGAGTTTCGAGATGAGACACATACATTTGGAATCAGCTTCAGACGCTGATTGCAAATATGCTGTTTGTAGCTGCGGCACGTCACTCTGAAGAGAGTTATCGATTTTCTTCTGTGCAAAATTTGCGTACTCTTTGACTTAATGACCTTACGGTATCACCACCTAAGCGCTATATGACTGCATTAAGTCTCTTGTCAATTACAAAAGACTCAATATGATATAATTTTAGTATCCCAGCACCGCCTTAATCCAGATTTGCAGAATTCCATTTACAGGCAGCCTTATCATATGGAAAAAGGCAATTCTCACAGAACAAAGCTAATAACTTCCTTCAGAATAATGTGCGGCAGCTAGAAACAGCATATTTGGAATCAGCGTTCGAAGCTGATTCTAAATATATGTGTCTCATCTCGAGACGCGATTCTAAATTACCTGATATCACTTGTCCGATGGCTCAGCTTTTCAAATACGCAGCGTGATCATTGCGTCTTACCAAGTTCCAGCCTTACCCTAAAGTTAGCACTGTTTAGGCCTTGGAACTCAGTTTCTATCCGGCGCAAAGAGTTGCGATGATACAGGTGCATTGGTTGTTTTCTGATGCAAAATAGTGCACTTTAGGGTAAGGTTGGAATCTAGTTCAAAAAAGCGGCAACACAGTGATATTTCAAATGTCAAACAGAAAATCTATCGGAAAAACTCAATTTATCTCATAGCCTTGGCAGAGGCTAATTAGAGTGCTTACACTACAGAAAAAGAGACATTTTGAAGCGCACTAACTTCAAAAGAATTTGAGCCATCTGAGAAGAGTAACGCAACGCCTTTTTAAAGTATAAATATTGGCTTCTAGAAATGCCTAACGCAAAAACACTCCCAAGATTGACACTGATTTTCAGTCTTGTGCCGCGCGTATCAACTTTCGGCTATACGCTTTCACGTAGTACCAACGGTTCAGCATTTTTATGTTCGAAATTCCATTGATTCTTGAGCGGTTGTCAACAGAAATTGTTCCACCGTACTCACCGGCACGTAGATATTCGCAGTGTGATGAGGCGTCTCTAATGCTTTCCATGCATGGTAGACTTTCATCCAAACGGCTGACTTAAAATCTTTTCGACAGCTGAGACGCTCTTCTATGTCCTGAACTCTACATTAAGTGAATGAGGCGCGTCAGAAAAAGTGGTGATTTTCTGGTGAGATGTAGGTGGCGCAACATTTCCAAAAAGTAAAATAGCAATGCACTGTTATAGAGCACATAGTGCACCTACCAGAACAATGGGTTCTTCTTCTGTATGCGGTGCGATGGCTTTGATAAACTCGGAGGTGAAAAAAACGTCAAGGCTCAGAAGCTCTAATGCTCTGTACATATTGCGCTAAAGTGAAGTCATGAGACTATTGGTAAAAAAGAAAAATCGGTAAGCAACCTTTCTTTCCTTCTTGATTAGAACTTCGAAGATCACAACAACCACGGCTATCCCTCCAAGAATAAGCACGCCTAGAATAAGACTCGTCAGTTCTGGCAAAACTCAGAATTCCATTATAGGAGCAACCGTTTCTATCTTTAGAATTTGCACACTGTGAACGCAAACGCACCTGTGAAGAATTTACAAGGGGTAGTCACTCTAAAAGATTATTCCGACACGTTCTGCATCATACCGCAAGCTGTCATCTACATCCCTAATCTGACACTGTTTGGTAACCTGCACCTCAGGTATTTGAACTATGTGGCAGACTCAGAGAAGAAATCCCTTATGACTCATTCAGGGTGACAATGTAGCAGAACGAGCCTGCATATTGGTTACCATTCCTTAGATAAAGTACGCTACATACATCTGCTTTATGCCTTCCCTCGCCTAAAGTTGTATTAAGTCGGTGCAAAAGCCATTTCCGTTTCGGACTAACCCGCCAATCTCTCGAATGAACGATCAACATAAACTCCTACTCAGACATTCGCAGTTAAGTCCCGCCGGAGATCCGCCCACAAAATGAGAATTCGCGAGAAAACCGGGAGTCTTGCGCGACACCCGGTTTTGTCCCGACTATCGGGATAATCCCGACACAAAAAATGAAGCGGGAGAAAACCGGGAGTCGCGATCTCAGGGCGCGCTCCCAGTGTCTGAGCGTAAAGGAAACTTGCGTGAAATACGACGCATGGTCTACCCTCAATGTCCACAACCTTGGATGTGCTTCCATTCTTACAGGCAAAAACACTATCAATATGTTGCCTAACGGACAACCTTTGATAGGATCTTGTCGTTATTCAACCTTGAACTCGGGGAGGACTTGGTCTCCGAAGCCGCTGTACGGTGGCTCTAATTGCCCTTTGTATATGAGCGGGAGTCACGCCGGTGACTGGATCGCGACACCATCGGGACTCCAGTGGCCGTATTCATCAACGAAACCCAGTGGGTCATCCTACCCAGTGGGTAGCCTCAACCCACGAAACCGGTATTCACGAAGCTGCTGGGTAAGTGAACTCAGTGGTTAAGTCTACCGCTGGATCGGCTAACCCACAAAATGCCGCCATACCGGTATTCACGAACAGCTTCGATGGGTTAGCCTACCCAATACCGGTATTCAAGAAACTCCTTATCCAGAAATCGTGGGTTCCGATACCCACTTTTCGTGGGTAACTTCCTACCCAAGCACAAATCGAGAATCGCAATGGGTAACAAAGGATTGTGGCCTTTTCTTCAAACGCTGTAGAAGTTTCAGAAAGAACCAATGGCTATTGGCCGTAGTATGTCATACTAGAAATGCTAATGTTCCTAATTGGATACTAAAACCTTCTTTCATGAAACCGTCAAAAAAAGGTTTCATAGCAGAAACCAATTTACTAATTCAATGAAAAAAAATCGAAACATTAGGCTAAACAAAAGTTCTGTCGTTTTGATTTCGAAAAATTCATAGCTGCTCCCTATCAAATGTAATTGCTCATGAGGAAGTAAAGAAAAAATTTTAGTTATCTCCTAGAACATCTTCGAAGCTCCTGGCGACAAGAAACTATACATAGAAATTCGAATAAGAGAACCATCCTAACTCCTGATTTTTGAAAATCATTTGTTAAAAATCTCAAACGCTGCAAAAGAATTCAAGGCAGTTCTTGAGTTCACGTAAGCTGCTCTCTATAAAAGTGCTACTTTATGCTGGTTGATCTATGAAAATCATAATTTTAAAGGAAAATGCAAAAAAATGTAAAAAAAATTTTTGTCGATTTTTGCGTTTTCCTCGAAAAACAACTTTGTACAGAAAAGCTCAATCAGCACAAATTCGGGTCTATTAGAAAGTACAACTTACACTGGCTTCAACAAACATGTCATCAGATTTTTCTGCCCGTATTTGTGACAATTCATTTTCGAAAATCAAAAGTTGGTTTTCTTATTCAGATTTTAATCGGCAGAGTCCCTTTCTATCAAGAGTTGCGAAAATGTTTGCAGAAAGTAGATGAATTTTTCTTCCTGAAGAAGTTTTTTGTAAGCAATTATGCTCACATAGGGAGCAGTTACGAATTTTTAAAATAAAAGGGACTGAACTTTCGGTTCAAGCTACCCTAATTTCACGCGTACAAGGCGCACCTTTTTTCGATTCTTCAAATAAGCCGCTCAACCGCTTCAATGTGTCTAAAAGCGAACCTTAAACCGTTACGAAGCCCGGTATAGGGTTCTTTGCTCGCGAAGTGTTGTGGCGTGTTTGGGCTGGCGGATTTTAGAAAAAATCCCCCGCGCCTTGTACGCGTGAAATTAGGGTAATTAACGTCACCATTCTCCGAAAAATTCAAGACCTTTTCAAAGTGAAAATTAACATTTTTGCAAACAAAAAACTCTTTGCTATGGAGTTCATCAATGCTAGCTCATCTTAGAGATTTTCTAATACTACTGCAACTACGTAGAAACATCGTATACGAAACTGTATGTCAATCACTTGTAAATTTAGTGCTCTATTCATGCAAAAAAATGTTCTGTTTCTCTCGCACTCAAATAGATTAGGCTACTTTAAGTGTTTAAAATGCTTTTTTCCCTCCTTCATCCGAAAGCTTGAGCCCCTTTGAAACACTTGCAGAATCACGACTGCAATAAAAATGTGTAATTCTGTAAGGCTTTAGGCGCCTTATCCCATGTATGTTATTACAAGTTTCCCACATCTTCGAAGTCTGAACTCGAAAGACCAATCCCCTTCCACTTTTACGAATCTGAATTTTGCATGGCACCAGATCATGTCAATTTTAGAAAGACGGAAGCCTTCAAACAATGATTCAGTCCCGCGGTCGAATCAAACTATTAGCTTGCATGTTAAAAGACTCAAACCTACGCGAGAATTTTGATGAGAATTTCGAGGGCCACTGCTGAGTTCGATAACGCAGTGGAGGCGTTTGTAAATATGTAGTAGAGATATTGCACACAAATAGTTGTGAAGAACTACAAAAACGATGCAAGGGCACAGCAAATATGCCAGTACGTGATTTAAATAGACGTCAATGAGCACCCTGCTGACGTCAGCGCTGCTGGGTAAGCTAACCCAGCGGCAGAGGCGTTCGTGAATACCGACCATGGGTAAGCTTACCCACTGGGTAAGCGAACCCATGGGTAAGTTTACCCATTGGGGAACGGAACCCACTGGGTAACGTTGATGAATACGGCCACAGCAGGAGCTCCCGGTTTTCTCAGTAGAAAACATGTCGGGACAAAACCGCGTGTCGCGCCGCATTAGCCCGAACGAAAACCGGGAGTCCCGGTCTTGAACCGTTTTACTTGTGTCCCGCAATCATTCCGGCGGGACACAACTTTTTCACCGGCGGGACTTGACTGCGAATGTCTGAGTAGCAGTAGCCGAAATTTCTTCCTTTTTCCAGCATCTAGATTTCAGATCAACTTTTTCGAATGAGTGCGAGATTATTGTCGAAGCCTACAATCTTTCATTTTCACTATGGCCGAATTTCAGTAAATCTCAGAGTTTTTAGTTCAGATTCTTTGAGGTGTTTTGATTGCCAGTTGATACTGTGTCCGAGGTCTGCTCTTTCCCATCCTGCCACCAACTTTGAATTACTGATGACTTTGTTTTTACATGATTGACGTTCAGAAGTAAGTTTCCCGCAATTTCCTCCGCTGTGCACAAATGGATTCTTAAGTAAAATAAGATTATTGTTTTCTATTTGGGAATAATAGTGAATGATAATGGTTTCTAATATTCATCTTAATACTTCATTTTTTCCACCCTTCTCACTCGAATTGTGCTTCCAAATGTGGATGAAGAAGGTTTGCTTGGCTTGGGGGCGGACATTAGGTACCCAACCATTAGTGGTATACACTAAGCCACGCCTCATTCGCGCAATTTTTTTGATTTCTTCTGTCTTTTTTTCCTGGGTCGCAAGCGCCAGCGCTTCAGCGACCTAGGTGAGCTGTTGCAGCTAGGATTCGTATATCGTTAGGTGCCCGCTGTTGAAGCAACGAAGCGGTGTGGCCTTGTGTACACCACTAATGGTTGGGTACCTAACGCCACGTACCCCTTGGCTTTGACCCAAGGTAAAAAAGAAAAGGTAGATACAATGTTTCTTTTATCGCATGTATTTTTCAGGGTGCTTTGGAAGCATGTCTTTAGATTTTCACGAATAAAATTACTGAAATACGACTCTGCATATATACCCGCAATTGCCAGCTCCGGATAAAAGTATCCAACCACCGCTACTGTACCAGCACCAATTAGAGCAGCAGTACAGATCGCTGCCACGGGATAGGTCTTCATATTCAACTGGAAAGAAGAAATGTTATTGACTGTGTACAGAAGGATAAAACCAGGGTCGAGCAATAGGTGTGGCATACAACCACAAAATACGACCTCCTCTTCCCCCCCCCCCCCTCCCCCCTAACTTCTGTCTCAGTACCTCCCCGCGCATTATCATTCGCCTCCCGTAGGCATGACATCAAGGCTCTATCTTATACATAAAGCTGAATGTCTGTTTGTCTGTATGTATGTCTGTCTGTCTGTCTGTACGTATGTTCTGAATAGAAAATTCCATTTCTAAACCGATCCGGACCAAACTTGGCGCACATACACTTCGGGCCCCGGCGGGTGTCATAGGCTACTTTTCGTCATCGATCGATATCGATTTTATCGATTTTTATCGATTTTTTGCTGAGTTCACCTACGGGGCTGGGATTTGGCACAGGGGGGTAATCGAGCATGCTGATTACGTATACAAAATTAGTTTTTGAAACCGTCCACTACTTTTATCGATTTTATCGATTTTTTTGTAAATTTTGACATGCGAGACTGGGATTTGGCACAGGGGGTAATCGAGCATGGGGATTCCGAATACAATATTAGTTTCCAGGATTATCGACTACTTTTATCGATTTTATCGATTTTTTTCCAAACTTTGAGCTACCGGGCTGGGAGTTTGCACAGGGGGGTAATCGAGCATGCTGATTACGAGTTCGATATTAGTTTGGCGCTATTCGGCTATCCGGGCCCCAAAATTTTTTTGTGGTAGAGCTTGCTCAAACTTCATGTATAAGGGTTATCTTAAGGGCCGGGCATATTTCACGATTTCAATCGCGACGCGATTTGGCAATATTCCAGGTGTCCATAACTCATTGTAAGCACATTATAAATGTACAGAAGATAGGGCATTTCATCAGTCTACGTAAGTTATACACACTATGCATGTGCAGTTTGCTAATGTTGGATCCGAAGACTTCTGGCGAATTGCCAAATCGCATCGCGACTGAAATCGCGTGAAGTATGCCCGGCCCCTTACATGCTGATTACAGATATCACACTTTCTGCGCAGAACGTCTTCCCGTGTGGTTACGATAGGTGTACGTAGGAAGTCAAATTCATGAATTTGGCTACAGTTCGATCCCTATGGCTTATTCGACATGCTAATTACGAATATCATCTCTCTCTGCATATTGGGACCCTTTCATAGAGTTATGGTGGTTATACGGTATGGGGTCGAAAACATAGATTTGCTTTAAACTTCGTCTAGAGTGGTCATTTAGCGCGCTGGACATGAATATCATGATTTCGCAGGATAGTGCATTTTCTTGGGTTACGGTGAATTAGATGGGTCGAGGTTCCAGATTTCCTCAAAACCTTACCTGTAACGGTTCACAAGTATATCGCTTATGAATATGATGCTTGCTCGCTGTCATAACGCAATAGTGAAGTTATGGTGAGTTGCAGGGTTTGAATGGACATTTTTTCGCTTTCGGGCCAATTTAGATCCCAGATATTCAAGATATGGGGAACCGGTCGTTTTGCATAGCGGTCTCCAGCGCCATCCTGATAACCTGTCCCAACGCGTAACGCACGTGGCAATTTCCCTCCCCCTGTTTTTGCTTAGAAAAGCCGCCGAAGGGTGTATCGCGCGCGGCAGTGGTCCTATAAGGAAAAACCTGTCCCAACGCGCAACGCACGCGGCAAATCTCCCTCCCTCTGTTTGTTTTTGCTCAGGCAAAAGCCTCCGAAGGGTGTCTCGCGCGCGGCAGTGGTCCCTATAAGGGAAAGCATTACGGTCGTGGGAAACTTTTATACCACACGAATTGCCTTTATCATGGGGATTGAGCACGATATTCTTAAAACAGCACTTTAGGTAGTTTTTTGCTAAGGTTTCAGGCAGGTTCATGATTTTTACCCGTCGCCATGTATCTACCGTAACCGTAACTCTGCGAAAAGGTCTCAAAACGCAACGAGAGTGTTTTAGACGTGGTCAGAAGGTCGAATCTCTCTAGCCCTAGTTTCAGCCAAAACAAAAATTTCGCCCCTCTGCAGTGTACCTACCATAATTCAGTGAAATTGCCTCAAAATGCCGAAGGAGTATGATATTTTTAATCAGCATGTCAATTAGCCCCCCTCAAAGTTTCAGCGAAATACATGATTTTAGCTTCTTATGTGTACCCAACGTAGAGCCAGAAAATGGCGCTATTGCGCGAAATGACTACGATATTCGTCATTAGCGGCTTTAATAATCCCCATGTACCGACCTTGAGCGAGATCCAACACAAAAACATTTTGGGGCCGGATAGCCGAGTAGCGCCACCAGTTTTCGGAATTATCCTTATTTTTACCGGTTTTATTGCTTTTTTTTTGCAAAGTTTGAGCTACGGGACTGGGGGTTGTTGAGGGAGGTAGGTGGGCATGCTAACTAACACAGCGGGAATAGGGAACTGCATGTAGAAGTGGGCACAATGAAAGGTTTTACAGGGATAGGGATAAGACCTTAATCATAGCATTGACAGGGCCGGGCGGAGCCGGGTAAGCCAGCTAGTCAAACATAATAGTAACATATGTAACGCTATATCAAGTAACCCCTTTGAGCCAATTTTTAGCGAATTCTGAGGGCTCCCAATATTGAGCCACCCAAGTGAAGAGGCCATTTTCAAACATGGCTAACTTGATTTCTAAAGCGAATAAGCTATCTCTTTTTGCACTCAACAGAAAGCACTACCCCCTACTTGCCCACACTACAAAATCTAATTCAAGTGACCATCAAACTATGGAAAGCCAAAAGCCAGCCAAAATTCAGTTTGTCCCATCTTTCGCTTATAGTGATTGTCTCTCCAACATTTATTGCTTAAACAAAACAAGACGAATTCAGCTCTAATCACCCTACAAAATCTAGGAAATTTTCGCTATCGAACCGTAAAATTTTGTTCGCTAGAATACTCTTTAGAGGTAAGTTAATGGGGTGTGGCACAACCCCAGAAAAGCCGTGACCGCCATACCTTTTTAGGGGTTGTGCCACACCCCATTAGCTTACCTTCAAAGCATGCAAATGTCTGTGTGTTTTATATGGTTGCTACAGATAACCTTCTTCTCTATATGGCAGGAATTTCATTCGAAATCGTTTCTCCTGAAGAAAGATGCGATCGTCTTTCCTTACCTATGCAAATGGAAAACACTGCTGAATTGCTGGGTTACGGTAACATGCTAGGTCTGCGCTACTATGTGCGTCTATTCGATGGCTTAAAGGCAGTGTCCGGGCAAAAACTCGATTTTGAGATTTTGTGCTTACCCGGGCCTATTCGCTACGCTGAATGCGGAAATCCACACTGGAAAGCGCGAAAATGGCGAAAAAGGGCCCCAACGCAGAAGGGAAATCAAAAGTGGGCGGGGTCTTCCCCAGGGTGAATTCACTGTCCCAGCTCCCGAAGCGATCTTTTCGCTTCCGACTTCAGATCATGCATTCGCACCTGGTCCGTTGAGATGTCAGGGGGGTTAGTAGGATTGAAACGATCGCTCCGAGAGCTGGGACCGTGAATTCACCCTGGGGAAGACCCCGCCCACTTTTGATTTCCCTTCTGTGTTAGAGCCCTTTTTCGCCGTTTTCGCGCTTTCCAGTGTGGATTTTCGGATTCAGCGTAGCGAATAGGCCCGGGTGAGCACCGGACACTGCCTTTAAGGTTCGCAATCTCACAGAAGTGATTTGAAGCTGACGGCTATCTCTAGTCTGAGATATTAAAAACAATAAATGGGACAAATGGGATTTTGGCTTGCTCTTAATCCCATAGTTTGGAGGTTAGTGACGTAAATTCCTAATGTGTGAAAAGAAGTAATAGTTCTTTGTGCAAAAAGTGCAGAAAGAAGTAGTTAACTCACTTCTGAAACAAAGTTAACATGTTCGAAAACGACCATCTCGCTTGAATGGTTCAATATCTGGGAACCTCAGAATTCGCTGAAATTCGGTCCACATGGATAATTTGTCATGCTAATCATGAAAATGACGCTTTTAGGTTTTTAGAGCTCTTCTGTCATGCTTACTGTCCTTATACGATGGTAGCCAAAACATTAGAGTACTAGGTAAGGAGCTTATCTGACATTTCTAACGAATATCATGTTACCTCTAACATAAGGATCACCTTGATAACGACCCCCCCCCCCTCCTGACGCTCATAATATGACCTCCAGGCGTGCCACACCCCGCGCTTGACCCTGGATAGAACTCAGCGTACAAGCGGTGATATACTTCTAAGCTCAGTTATTAGTCTTTTACGATGATTGCACCAGTCTTCCAATGGAACCATTGTTTCATCACGCTTTTCCATAAAGGACTGTAAGAGTTCATTTTTGCACTATTACCAAAACATCAAAAGTGCTGCAAGCGGTAAAGTGCACCATTCAAAAGTAAACCCACCAAAGCCACATCTTCGTCTCCAACATGTTTCGCCATTCCTTTACGATCGACTGGGAAACTCATCGGTACACGACTTTAGTTGTATCTTATTCAAATACCTGATAGCAAGGTGACATCTAGAAGCGTCGTTACTATTTTGCTCCCAAAGAACTCAGAAGTGGACGGGAAATGAAAGTACATTTTATGTTCAGAATTGCTGACTGTCAGTTCACAAAGCGCTGACTCTATTAACAAGATCTCTAACTCCGCCCAGGGGTTGTAGTCCATTTTGAAGCTTTTTGAAACGAAGTCCTTCCTCAAAAAGTTTTTTCAAAATTTTAATTTTGCTTTATGAGCAGCTCAGTAGTAACGCCAAATCTTTCCTGAGTTTCAAAATTTCTATCCTGATGTTTGCAAAGTGCGCTGGTAACTACTGTGTGGAGCAAACCTTTGGCTAGATTGTATCCCATTTCAGATTACATGGGCCACGTTCAACAAGTCCGTTATAATTATTTATTCAATCAAAACCGCAGTATTTGATTGCGTTTACCATGTAAAACTACCGAAAATTCCAAAAAACTGCTCTTTCAAGGCAAATCAAATTTGCTTATGTTGCATAAATGATGTTCAATGAAAACCATGTTTTGATTCGGAGAAACTCCGAAAGCTTTCGAGTATTTGCTGCAGCGTGTTTCATGACTTGGCCAAAAATCGAGACCTCCCAAGAAATGATTTTTTGAAGCTAAAAACAGCAGATTAGGAGAATCTAAAAATATCGAGTTGTAGACCGAGGATTGTTCTATTTGATCCATGTTTGATCCTTTCCGAAACTTTGGAATGAAATTACAAAAAATTAGCCTAACTTTGAGCAGATAAAATTGACGGGTGGAGAATTATGGCAATTATCAAAGAAACCAAATAAGATAGTGGTTTGAAAATGCAAACATAAGAAAGAGAAGGAAAAGCTGTGTCGAATGCATGTTGAAACTCATTCAGGTCTTCATTGTGCGTGGTATCTTGTAGTCGAAAAACGGATAAAACCTTCGGGACAACCTAATAATTAAGTGAGAAATAGTATTATAAAACGTATTACAAACTGCTCAAGGAATAATCTAAAAGGGAACGGGAACAACACTTGCAGCACATTATATCACGCCTATAATGTGATTGCTGCTATTTCTTGTCGTGCATGCATTCATGTACTGACAGATGTATTAGGTCGATCTTTTCAAAGAATCGTACAAAATTTTGCTCTATTTTAGAAAGGAGAAACCTTCTACTTTGTAGCACTCTCTTAGCGAGCATCTTTTGCGCACTACGGTGATAAAATAAGATGAAGAATAGCATTCAAGCTTTGATAATTTTGAAATAGGTCGCCAAAAATCTGGAACGTTGCAGAAAAACCCGGCATCGTCAGTGCATAAGTTTTGCGACCTACTCTTTCCAACATTGAGGAATTTGTGCTGATTGCGCGTCTATTCGTAAAGTTATGATTTTTGAGAATAATGCCAAAAAAATTGAACCCGGCATTTTCTTCTATAAACTCAAGAAAACACTTTTCATAGAAACGTCTAATTAGCACAAACTTTTCATGAATGGAAAAGCAAAACAGTATCAAAAATTAGAGGGGCTAATTTTTTCTAAGAAGAATCAATTCTGTTCACGAGAAGTTATGATTTTTTGAAAATGAACGACAGAACTTTAGGAGCGATCGAATACATATGCCAGCGTTATACCTAATGACTTCGGGACCGCTTGCCAAACTATGTACCGATATGCGCTTAGGCAACGAGGGATGAAGCAGTGGTGCGAGCTCAGCTCTAGGAAAGAATAGGCTTTACTTTTGGGCGTGAGCAGTGTCTTCCGTTGCAGCACTCACGCGCAATCTTATCGCAACCATTTCTCGTTCAAGAATTCCTTTGCGATTCTGATGTCTTTTATTATCTTATTCTAGCTGCTTCTTCGTTGCTCTCTTATAGTTTCGAACTGTCTTGTATAAATGGAATGGCGTACCGTTATGTGCGCTGCGCGGCTGAAGCGTATGTTTATTAACATAGAGCATATCTTAAAAATTCATCTCCGCTCTGATTTTGCTCTAGCATGTGATGGAGAAAGAAAAGCATCAACAGCTCGTGGTCAAGGCGTCTTAAGGGAGAAGGTGACAATCGTCGAAAGGTTAACTACGTAGCTGTGTGGAAAATTTCAAAAGTTTACAACTTGTGGTTTCAGACTTGACCAAGATTACAGACTTTTTGGTCTTCTTAAATGTTAAGTGCACCGCCCGACATGGATGTGGCAAGTCACTTGTAAAGTGATTTCGCCTTCAACGCTCTAGATCTTCGGTTTTATCCATGGTGACGCTTAGCGATGTCGTTGAATTGGAGCGCTCTTTTCTCATTGAGAATCGGTGTTTCTTTAATTGCTTCGGGTTCTGCAGAGAGGAAGGAGAAAGTTTCGAAACTAAATCACGCTACACGATCAAGTTAGGTGTAGAAGATTTGCGGTAGAATAGTGAAGATTGGACTGGACATTTGGCCTGTAAGCGTTGCCGCTCTTGAAGGCACTGTCCAGGCAAATCTGGGCACATAAGTTTTTTTTCTGGAAACTGATGAGGGGTCCTGACTAAGGCACTGCCCAAGCTGCAACGCAAATAATTCATTCACGGCTGAGAAATCCATCCCCAAACACTTCGCGACCGTGACTTTTAGGATGGGTCCCAGCAAGAACGCAGTGTTAATGTGCTCAGACACTCGCACCGGCCGGCGACCGTTCGACGACGGCCTTCCGGCCGGCTGCCGTTCCATCATTTTGGGCGGAGCCAAACGCCGGCCGGCCACCGGACTAGTAACTACGGCCGTTCCACTGTGCAAAAGCTCGGAAAGCGCACAAGATTGCGCGTACAGTAAGAAAACAATTTCAAACATTGGGCGCGTTGTGTCTGCTAAGCGGAAAACTTCTCTCTTTTGATTTTCCTTTGTTATTGTTGGGTTTTTTACTTCGGTTGCGTCACTTTCTTTGTCCGATGATAGTTGATGTAGCCCGTTATTATGATTCCGTTCATTTCATTCATTTCTTTTCAGATTTGACCAAACTCCATGGTGTTCGTTATCACTTCTTTCTATGTTATTCCTTATTTTGACTTGAATGGCAAAAAAGCCGAACGTCAGTGAGTTCATTCCTATTTGCTGTGACGTGAATTCTAGGTAAGTGTCGCAACACCTTTTGGATACGAACTAAGGAAGTACAAACTAGACGTCCAAGTTTTTTTTAGGAGACAGCTGCAATACATTGTGTTTGGGTTCTTGCTTTTATGATGGATACAATGAATGGTTGACTGTTGCCAGTTTAACACTGTTATTCGTGATTACGAGACACTGTTAATCGTGAATACGGATATGGCCAATGAAGCTCCTTTATATAATCCTCAAATTGTGGACTATTCCTACTTTGCTGAGTATTCTAATTCATCTGAAGATCGTTGATCTGTTGATTTCTGCTAAGTCACTATGTGATATACTACCGCATTTATGCTAATCTGATGCTTACGGCTTCTCGAAGCACTCCAAAAGATGTGAGTTTCTCTCTGACTAAGATTTGATTGAAACTACCCAGTGTCTTCTAGGGACCGATATGATCATCTGTTTTAACTATCTCCAGTGAACGCATATGTTTTGATATTGCTCTGCTAACAGACGTTATCGCTACTCTATGCATAGCTGTAAGTTCTGGTATAAGTTAAAAATTGTCAATAAGTTATTTCATTTACAGGTTATCGGATGCGGCTTATCAACCGTTGAATGTGGCATTCAGAACAAAACAAAATTATGTGACCTTTTAGCCTAGCCAATCCGGAAGTTTAACGATATGTGAACCAGTTGCATCAAATCTAGCTTTTTAGTTTTGAATGTATTTTTCATGCATACATGTACAATGTGACAATGTTTGTTGTTTGTTCAATGTCTCTTTGCATTGTACCTTCTGGCTGTAATAAATACGTATGTTGCTGTAGATTCGTACCACCCCATATTAAGGTTACAGAGCTGAATGAAAGGTAGAGAAAAAAAATACTGTGGCCCCGTGCTATTTTGTTGCGCTATTGACGCATACCGGCCGGCGGCCGTACGGGTACCGGCTGGCGGCCGTTCGAGTACCGGCTGGCGGCGACCGTCCCGGCCGAAATGTCGGTGACGGACAGGCCGGTCGTGGGACGCCCGCCGGCCGGTGCGAGTGTCTGAGTAAGCGAAGTCGTTTTCGCGTTACGGTCATGGCGCAGACACTCTGTTTTTGGGGGTGGATTTCTCATCTGTGAATGAACCATTTGAGCTGCCGCTTGGGCAGTGCCTTAGCTAGGACCTCCTCATCAATTTTCAGGCGAAAAACCCATGCGCTCAGATTTGCCTGTACACTGCCTTTAAGGTGGCGTTAGGACGGCAATGATGGCAGCCATCTGGTTAAAAAAAAAGTTGTGCTGACTTTTCATTCACTAATCTTTCATATATCATTTCATACTTTGTTTTATTTATCACTAGCTGGCGTATTTGGCCGTTCGAGGACTATGATAATACCACCATCCCTATTTCTACAACATCCTGCTGGACCCTGCTGTCCTACCTCTAAATAACAGTGACTCCATTGTCTTCTCTATGAATAAGGGGTTGGTGTATGTATGTCCCGTATAGAAAATTCAATTTTGCCGATCCAGACCAACTTTCATACACTTGGGCGGGGCGGATGTCATAGGCTACTTCTCATTATCGTCTCTGCAAAATTCAAGCTAAGAGGCTGAGAGCTGGCACAGACGGGTGTTTGGAATAACAGGGGGGGGGGGGGGAAGGGGCAGGGAATAGCATACATAATTGGGCAGGACAGGGAAATGTTGTAAGTGGGACGGACTCGAGTTCCAAATGTCCCGGTATATTGATAAGGACGAAGCGTAGCCGCGCCCAGCTAGTATAAAGAACATTTTTCTTACAGTCAATTTTTCGAAATGATCTAGCAATCACTGAGAATTGAAATACAAATGCGTTAATAGAAGTACTGCAATTTTCCTTTTTTTACTTTACGGTCGAGGGCGGCTTCTTGGATTTCGGAGAAATTTTCGAGGCATTCCTTTTGTGATCAGCGCCAATCACTTATCTCTTTACCTTTTTTGATTCCCTCACACCGAGAAATGCAAAACAGCATTGAACTGATGAAAGGGCGAACAGAAAAATGATATTGGGTTGGAACGTAATTCTTGCACCAATTGGTGTAAACAGTGGTAATTTATAATTTTTCCATAATCTAGA